ACAGGGGAAGCAGTGGATGTAATATAGTTTGACCTTCAAGAGGCTTTTGATAACGTAATACACGTTATGCTACTTAATAAGAAAAAAAAGCCCATGTTTTGCAGGTGGTATATCAGCATGGATAGAGTATTGGCTAACTAATATAAGAGAAAATTCAGATGTAGGGAGCATTTTCAGGATGGCAACCTGTAACTAATGATGTGCCACAGGAATCAGTGCTGCATCCACAATTATTTACAATATATATTGATGACTTGGATGAAGAATATGAATGTACTATGACACAAAAATATGTGGGAAGGCAAATGGGAGGATGACACAAAGAGTTTCAGAAGGATATTGAGAGGTTAATACAAGAGGGCCAATACTTTGCAAGTGGAATATAATGGGGGGAAGAATGAGGGAGATGAATATTATTTAAATGAAAAAAGACTGCAGAAAGCCTCAACACAGAAGGATTTCAGAACCATCATTCATGAATTACAAAAATCTAATGTAAAAGTTCAATGAGTATTAAGGAAGGCAAATAAAATGTTGGCCTTTATATGAAAGGGTAGGGAGTAAAAATAAATGCTTCTTTCACGACATTCAACATTAGGAGTACTGATTCATCAGTCAAAATGTGTGTGTGTGTGTGTGTGTGTGTGTGTGTGTGTGTGTGTGGGTGTGTGTGGGTGTGTGTGTGTGTGTGGGTGTGTGAGATGGTGTGTGTGGTGATGGGGGTGGGGGGAGATGGTGCAGTGTCATCAGCAGAATATTTCCTTTCCCATATTAGACAAGATGCCATGAGACTTTATGGGGTTTTATGGGGTCTGAGTTAAAGTTGAGGTCTCCCGGGAAAATTCTCTCCTGATATAAAGAGTGTCAGCTCTACTGGGTATGTTCTGTTGGTGGGACAGGATATATCCATGGATGGTGATAATGTTATCTGGAACTTTGTTGGTGAGAAACAACTTCATGAGTATGACAGGCTGTTGCTTGACTAATCTGTGCGACAGCTCTCGCAACTTTGGCACCCAGCCCCAGACATTAGGAACAAGGAGTTCACTGGGTGGCCAGGGCTGAGGTTCCTGTTGTCCCTTTCAATGCATGTTGGTATGAGGCAGCCCATCAGATTTGCTTCCTTTTTTCAGGACCTTTCAGCCGTCTGATACAACTGGGTGGCTTGCTAGGCCGGTTCAGAGTCAACCACTTTACTGTGAGTCTTTAATCACATGTAGACTAGGTATGAGTGGCAGATTTTGTTCCCTAAAGGACATTACTAAACCACATGTGTTCTTATAACAAACGACAACTGTTCCATGATCATTGCTAGAATTTTAATTCCAAAATCCTTTTTAAAACTGAAATCCCACCATGGTGGGATTCAAACCTATGTCCCCAGAGTATTACCTAGTCTCAGGATTATTAGTACAGCAACAATGCTGCTACCCCAAAGGAACACAAGACCAGAAGAACAGGTGTAGGCCTTTCAACCACTTAAGTCTGTTCCATCATTTAATGAGATCAGGGCTGATCTGTGTCCAATTCCACTTACTTGCCTTTGGGCCATTTCCATAAATAGCTTCGCTTACAAAAGTTTATCTATCTCAGATTTAAAATTAACAATTTATCTAACATAAATTGAAATTTGTGGAAGAGAATTCCAAACTTTTACCACCTTTTGTGTATAGAAGTGCTTCCTATTATCTCTCCTGAAAGGTCTGACCGTAGTGTTTAGACTATTTGCCTTACTTCTAGAATCTTCAACCAGTGGAAGTCGCTTATCTTTATCTACCATGTCAGTATCCTGCTAATATCTTGAAGTCGTCAATCAGATCTTCTAGATTCGAATGAAAACAGGCCTAATTTGTATTATCCGTCCTTATATTTTAACCCCAAAGTCCAGCCCACCCTATTTGCTCCAGTCAAATAGGTCAGTTCTTCACAGTGCTGAGAACATGGGTTCAATTCCACCCTCAGGCAACTGTTTGTGTGGAGTTTGCACATTCTCCCTGCCTGCATGGGTTTCTTCCAGGTGTTCTCTCACTGTCCAAAGATGTGCAGGTTAGGTGGATTAGCTATGCTAAAGTGCCCATAGTGTCCAGGAGATGTGCAGGCTCGGGAAATACATGGTTAACAGGGAAATGGTAGGGTGGTGAGTCTGAGTGTGATGCTTTTCAGAGAATCAGTGTGGACTCAATGGGCTGAATGGCCTGCTTCCACGCTGTAGGGATTCTGTGATTGTATAAAAATGCACCTGACTTTTAGGAAGTGTGTACTGGCTTAAAACAGTACAGGATATGTTGCATCATGCTAAAAGTTTATGACTTCCTTGCCACCTTCTCATGCAAGCAATCATTCAGCAGGACATTTAAAGCTGGCTGCATACAACTACAAAGGGAAAGTTGAGCCTCAAAATTGTCCCAATTAAAAATCATCCCTGGTCTGTAGCCCAAATTCAATATAACCTCTTACCTTTCTCCTGATTTCCAAAAGAAAAATCAAATTTTGGATGGGCTGTAAGAGTTTAGTGTAGACAGGAAATAGACTGTTGTAGTCTGGGAGCGGTGTGTAGTGGTTTAGGATAGACCACAAGCTTAAATTCCATTCCTGTCACATGGTACTGACAAAACATTCGACCTGTTTACTGGTCATTTTTCCTCAATTTTATAGCTAGAAGAATTGGATGGTTGTCGCTGAACTGATTTTATCTGATCTGTTAAAGCTTTACTTGGCTCTTTTGTTAGATTTTCACTGTCATTTGTAGGCTATGAGGTCAGATTTGTTGAGGATGAAATTGCAATTAAAATGAGTTACTGAAGTGAGAGTGAATCAGCAAGTTTGCCCTTAAGTCTGAACAGAAAAGGAAAGTTGCCGTAGTCTTGCTCTCTTATTAGAGAGACAGAGATGACTAGTGGTGGTTTAATCTGAGGGTCACCATGCCTCAGGTGCCGGAAGAGGTTGGGAAGGAGAATCCTTCATGGTTACCTCAGCCAGAGACGGGATTGAGCCTATGTTGTCGGCATCACTCTGCATTACAAATCAACTGTATCTGAAGGCAAATGTATTAATACAACAGATTTATCTTACATTCACACCTTTTCTCTGCACCAAATCCCATTCAGATGTATTTTACTGCCCTGCTGCTTCTGGCAGGGAAGCTCAGATGTGGCACAGGCAGGTGACAACACAAAGGCCCTGTGCTTGAAATTTCCTGAACAACATGCCGTGTGAACAATACTTTTGCACGTAAGTATAATTTGGGGAAAACAGTCCTGGCTTTTTAGAGGATGACAGAAATGTTGTAATGACCATCACCAATTTGAATTCTATATAACATCATAAGTGTACTGAAGAATATATTTACAATTTCACCGAATGCACTATTCAAAGCACTTCTATCAATTAAGGTCCTCTGCAGCAGACTTCCTAACACTGTAGTTCTGCAACATGTACTCCCTGACATGCCCAGAACTTCAAAAAATGGGCTGAGGCAGATACTGAGAAAATTGATTTACGTGGAAGTGGGAGTAGGGAATATTCTTTAAAATGACACTGTCATGACTTGTGTTCCATTTATAGACTACGTTTTAGGAAATGATTTTGGAATTTCGTTCAGTTTCTTTTCTACATTCTAAATCAGAAACCTGTACAGACTAATACAAGTGAACGAATTTCCAAATTAGACAAATGACGAAAAAAGTAGGATTGTACAAATGTTCCAGTTCATTGTAAAAGGTGGGTGTGTGTTTTGCGAGCGGGTCCAGGGGAGGGGGATGGGGGCTGTAGATGGTTTTAAGGTAGGGAGAGTCCGAAACCCAACTGAAGAAAGGTGCATGAAACTGAATGACAGTCGAGGAGGAAACATAAAGACCAAGCAAACAAAGCCGCTGGCACGCTGTAAAATTAACACATTGTGCAAAGCACAAGCCACCAACCAGCAGCCCACCCCCCCAATCCCAGCACCGCTCCTCCCCCTCACCCACAGATAGAACAATACAAATTCTCTAAAATGCTGAATAAAGCTTTACAAATTATATGTGTGATTTTACAATTTCTATAGTTAATACAACTCAAAATAACCGACCAGTAATTTTAAATAACAGCTGTTATTTAATCCTCTGCCAATTCACATATAAGGGAATAAACATCTTGCTCCATGCATAAAACTAGTATCGAGGATACATCAATAGCGAATAACGCCTGGTGGGGCACTAGCATTAGATATGAAAAGCCCACGGCGCAGTTTATTATCTTTTGTTTTCTATTCTTAGTTGACTAAAGGTTAAAAATACCCAACGCTAAGCAATATTCACATTCAGAGAGGCAGACAGAGACACAGTGCCAACAATGCTCTTGTTTAACATGCACTGACGAAGTGGTGCTGAAGGATAGCTGGAAGCGTGCAATGTACAATTACAGATCCCAGCCCGGCACTTTTACAGAAGCGGGGAAGGGCGAGTGGAAACAATTATTACACCGATGCATTTTTTATTACCTCTGACTAATGATTGACATCAGTGTTTATTGGTCAATTACGTGCACTTCTCGGATTACGAATTTCGAATATAACATCCGTTTAATCCATCAGCAAGACAGTCCGCGTGTATTTTCAGTTTTCTTTCAAAGGTGTAAAACCCATGCAGCATTGTGTGTGTCTTCATATTCAAGGGCTACTCTGTGGGGGATAGGCAGAGGCACTCGATGGGCATTACAACAGCTAACAGCTGCCATTGTAACATATCAATTTCCCTTCAATACATTTATATTTCCCAGGACAGAGATACGTGTGCTTTTTCTTTCTGCAATTGCCTAGTGTGAGTCAGCTCCGGCTCCCTCCACACCTACCCCTTCCCCCCATTCCCCTAATATGGCCAGGAACGGCGGGTAGGCGTGGCGACCTGGCTCGGCGGTGCTGAAAGACAGCTCCCAGCTACCGAGGGTGTGGGTTGTCGCTCCGCAGCGATCTCAAGTCTTCTCCTGTGCATCATGAGTCCAGCGGCTCCCGGAGCGGCGCCATGAAGCGCCAGAACGTGAGGACCCTCGCCCTCATTGTGTGCACCTTCACCTACCTGCTGGTCGGAGCCGCCGTCTTCGATGCGCTGGAGTCCAAGCAGGAGACCTCGGAGAAGAAGAACCTGGAGGAAAGGAGATTCCAGCTCATGACTAAATACAACCTGAGCGAGAAGAAATACGAGGAACTCGAGCTCGTTGTCTTGAAACTCAAGCCGCATAAAGCTGGGGTCCAGTGGAAATTCGCTGGATCTTTCTATTTCGCCATTACTGTGATCACAACTATCGGTAAGTGGCTTCCCCCTCCCCAAAGTCAGCCCTGTAATACAGACCTGCACTTTGTCTTCTGCATTTACATAACATGTTAGTAACGAAAGAAAAAAATCTTTTATTAGATTACATCTTGCCCCCTTTTTATTCAAAACTTAATATCTGTCGCCCATACAATATTTTTTTTTAAGTAGTTCGGTGTATTCCCACCTCCGGTAGTTTGTTAAAAACATTGTGATTGAAGTAAAGTTTCAAAGATTGAAAGGTGTTACGCAATTTCATGCGCTAAAATATTCACAGTCCACTATAGAGATGTTCCAGGGGCATCTCCAACAGAAGGGGTCTTTGTTTTGGAAGTTACACAGCGAGCTGTCATAGTCCCAACTAACTGCTTTTGCCCTGACGATATTTAGGAAGTTCTCATAGCGAATTCGTTTTACCTGCTGTAAACAGCGGCGGGCGCCTGTTTATGAATTATCCTCGCTGCTAAACCTGGGAATGTTAATGTACACAACTGCTTTTGTCCAGGGAAAGGGAAACCACGAAAATCAGTAGAATTTTATTTTCGCATTAGCAAAGAGTTGCTTTTAAAATATCTTATCGTTCAAAAACGGATACTGGCGGCAATTTACTCGATATGCTGTGATTCACACAATCGAATTTGTGTAGCTGCTTTCTAAACAGAGGAACAAAGGGTGTTACGAGATAGGGATTCGCAAATCAATAAAAATGGCACTGCATGTTAACAAAGGCTAAAAGAAAATTCAGACAAAGCACTGGGAATCAGTTCTAGATGAAAGGAATTGAAAAGCAGAGAAGTTATGTTGAATTCATATGGCACCTTGGTCCGACCACGCCATTCGATTCTGTTCTCTATACTTGCAAAAAGACGTAGGGACACTGGAATATGTAAACAAAAATAAATTTACAAAACCACGCAGAACTAAGACATTCGAAGTGTCAGGAAAGGTTGAACAAGCTTGAGATCCTTTCTCTTAGAAAAGGAAGTCAGAGGGCTAATTTATTAAAGACCTTTAAATTTATGTAAGGGCATGTAAGGTGTAGGTGTCTCCACTTCTGTAGCACTTCCAAACTACAGTACATTAACATTAGATGCTCAATAATCGGGAGTAACGCCATGGTCCAGAGAGTGGTGAGGTGAACAGCATTAAACGGGGAACTGGACATGAGGAAGAAAGTAACAGATGTTTTCGACCATAATCATAAAAAGATAGGTCATAGGAACAGAAGTAGGCCGTTCGGCTTTGCTGATAGGGTTAGATTAAGTAGGATGGGAGCAAGCTTGTGTAGACCATGCACGTCAGCGCAGATCTGTTTCTCCGAATGACCCCTTTTTTTCGGTTGTAAATTTTATATTGGTCTTTGCAATCTGCTTCAGTTGTTACCTTTCAATTCCACATTGCGCACATCTTTTGAGGACCTGGGTCTTAGCTCCTAAAACTGTTACCCTAAACCTTTCCGCTGTTTTATCAAACTTTCAAAAATATCTGTAAATCTATTCCTTCACCAACTTTTTCCCTCTGTTTTCCAAGCTTTCCCTTTCTGGATTGACACATGTTATAATGCTTACTTGTGGACTGCCTTGACATGCTCCTACATGAAATGTGATTTGTTGCTGCTGTTGTTATTAATGATGATCCATATTTATGGGGATATTAAATTAGGCACAGGTTCACTTTGCATGTAATGTTTCTCTGCAATATTTTCAGAAGCTCTGCCCATTTTAGCAGCTGCTTAATCCAAGTATGTGTCATGTTAAGTAGGAAAGCTGTCAGCTTTCTAAAAAATTGACTATGTATTTAGAGAGCTCCTATCTGTTGTAAGTGATCGGATGGACTATTTTTAACTGCTTTATTATGCAGTTACTGTCACTCTGAACTGTTTTATTTAGGTATGCCTGTACTTTTTCTGATATTTCTCCATAGGTATCATGAATGAAATGTGGAATAGATTTTAGGGTGATTATTTCATTATAACTGTGGAATCCAATCACATAATTAATCAACAGTGAAGGTATGGGGGAAATCATCATCATCCATCCGAAATGGACACAAATGCATCTAAGCAACTGCACGTAACTATGTGCACATTTAAATTATATTCATGAGTTCTGAGGAAGGGTCTCTTGATCCAAAAAGTTAACTCTGATTTCTCTCTACAGATGCTGCCAGACCTGCTGAGCTTTTCCAGCAATTTCTGTTTTTGTTTCTGATTTACAGCATCCACAGTTCTTTTGGTTTGAATTATTTTCAGGTTTGGTTCTCATACAAATGCTGCCAGTAAACTGGAGTGCATCAGCTGGGTACCCCAGAGCATGGATGAGGCTTTTGGAAGCAGATAAGTTGAGACAAGGATGGAGTCAGGTGATGTTACAGAAGCAGAAATAGGCAGTCTCAGTTTTGACTGATAGTTCGTCACTGAGTTAAATATAAAACCAATGTTCTTAACACAGTAGTTCAGCCTCAGACAGTTGCTAGGGCGAGTGATGGGTTTGGCAGCTAAGGAATTGAGGTTTTCATACCAATATTTATTTGGAAGAACTTTTTGATCAGCCAGTGTTGGATGCAAATAATCTGATCTTGTAGAGAAGGGAAGGATCAAATAAGGTGGTTCTGAAGTAGAGTTGGAAATTTTATTTTTTTAATCATACACATGGAAACTAATGTAATGCCATGCAACAGGTGACAGAGACAAGAGAACAGTAGACAGAGCTCATCAATTTTCCTAAATAGCAAGATTTTTCAAAATTCAATAAATATTTAATACTACCAATGTTGATCAGTATATTTCCACATACAGAATATATCATACAGAACCAAAATGGCCTATTCAATCAAGGCACAGCTTGCCTGCATAGCAAGGCAGCCGCATGAATCTAACCTGGTTGCAATATTGATTTGAAGTGTTAATTAGTTCTTCAGAGGGAGGGTTGTTACCTATAATTTCAAGCAGTTTGTGCTATTGCGAGTAGATTACCCTTGTGACATCTGATGTCCAGGACATTGTTCTTAACCATACACATAGCAGGAAGCTTACCAAGGCAGACATTTTGAAGTCTCATCAAAAGGTAGGCTCTCACCTCAAGGTAATAATTTGTATTGACAGTTTGATGGGTTGTGTTTGCATCTCGGAGATTTAAGGGAGAGCAGTTCACAGAGGGTTGGTTTTTTTCTCTCTGTCACAGAATGTCTCTTTTCTTGCAGACAGCAAGGAAAAGCTTTTAATGTATGGATCAGTTGAAGGATTAATCCAGATAAGAAAATCTTCTATCTTATCAACTTTGCTTAGAGAGAAAGAAGTTGAATTTTGTTGTTTTTACAACCAAGGAGTGTAGGAGAATTTATGCTGTCACAATAAAAAATATGTACTGATTATTATGCCATTTATGTTAACAATATAAAGCTTGTGCTTTATCTCAGTAGAATGCATAAGAACATAATAGCAGGAGTCAACCATACATCCTCTTGCCCGTCTGCCATTCGATTATATCATGGCTGATCCATGGCTTAACGCAACCTGGGTTCTGTATCCCTTAATACCAAAAGCTAACAAAAATCTATCATTCAGTTTTGAAATTTTCAATTGAACTTGACTGAAAATCTTCACTGCCATTTGCAAGAAGAAAGGCTTTCTGAAAACATACCTGAAGAACCCAGCTCAAAATGTAAAGTTATTATAGATATTCATAGAAGAAATAATTTTTCTAATTAACATATCATTTGATCACCTTCAACATTCCAATTAAATTGCCATCACAATCCTGGAGGATAACACTGACCAGAAACTTAACTAGATTGTGGCAATACGGCATAAGGTAAGTCAGAGAAAGAGAAAATACTTTAAATACTCAGCAATTCTGGCATCATTTCTGAAATGAAAAATTGTTAATATTTGAGATGACCCTCTCTTGTCACTGTTAAGGAGGCCAGAGAAATCTGGCTGTATTGTGGCATTGGTTATCATTACAGAGCTTAGAGCATGTCCATTCCATCTTGGAAATTGGCGTTCAACTCCTTTGGCTGCAAGTGCAGACTCAATCATGGTGCAGCAGTGTCTGGTGACCCATCTCAACTTTCAAATCAAGATAAGTAAAGCAAGGTGGAAGCCCCTCAATAACCTAGTGCTACAGTGGAAGCACAGACTGAGGTTATAAATTGCATTCTTGCTGCCATGCCTTGCTACCAGCATGACTGTGGGTGCTAACACGCAAAGGGGCATGCTGTCTGCAATAGCAGTCCAGCAATCTTTCCTCCAACAGGTTACAAGCATTGATAAGATGCCAGCCATGAATGCAGTAGTCAAATTGTGCAAGCGGGAACCTGCTGTCCTTTCTTAGGAGGACAACATTCATAGTGTTACTACTAGCAATTTACTTGTAGCCTTGTTACCACTCAGCCAACCAGTTTAGACTGCTGGTATCCATGCCAAGGTGCTAAGTTAGAAACTGGGTTTATATTTCTGCTTAAAGGAAAAAACTGCACGTAGCACCAGGCCATGAAAAAATGCCATTAAAGAGGATTCCAAGTCTTCCTGCTTTGAGAAGAAGGACTTGGAAATGTTGACCTATGCAAAGCGATGGCATTGTGAGATAGTAAAATAGGAAGGGTATTGCCAACTGCAAATTGGTTAGGAAAATTGTAATTCACAGTTCTTGTTTTTCAAAAAACACCACTCATCATTATGCATCAACAATGCTTAAGTTTATGTCTTCTTCCACATGGCCTCTGATTTTTCTGTTAAACTTTGCTTTTTCTTTGTCCTTCTATAATAACCCCAGCCATGAGAAGCAGCTTGAAGAATCTGGGTTCTCAACTTTAGCTTCATTCAACACTGCTTCACTCAATTTATTATTATTTCTTAGCCTGACAACTCAGGCACGCAAACAGGACTGTTTTGTTACATTGAAGGGACATCATGTACAGACGCATAAGTAAGGTGAGGAGATGGTAGATGAGGAAACACAAATTGTCAGGTTCCTGTTGATTGAGGAATCTCAG